GCAGCCCACAGCCCCAACCCAACCCTACCCGCAACCCTACCCAAACCCCAACCACCCCACTGCCCTTGCCCACACTCTCGAAAATCTAAGCCTGAACTCCCATCCGACTTGGTTCATGGACACTGAGCCTCTCACCATATCACCGCTGACCCAGGTACTTTATCTCATGTATTTTCTTCAAACATTTATTCACCCTCTCATATTATTGTAGGTAATGGATCTAAAGTGTGCACTACGTCCTCTGGTAACGGTCTCCTTAACACAAACCCTCCCCTTTCCCTGAAAAATGTCCTTGTCTCCCCTCATATTATCCATAACCTTATTTCGGTCTGTCAATTTACACGTGATAACAACTGTTCCGTTGAATTTGACTCTTCCAGTTTTTTTGTGATGGACAAACGGACGGGAGCCGTGATTCATCGATCTAGTAGTGACGGACATCTCTACCCGCTATCTCAAGGCCAACCCCGAGCACATCTTCACCTAGCCAAAGTCGACCTGTCCACGTGGCATCGCCGACTTGGTCACCCAAGCCCCGCAGTTCTCCATGGCGTCTCTTCTTCTTTTGATAGTTTTAATAAATCTCAGTTAAACTATTTATGTCATGCATGTCAGTTAGGCAAACATGTTCGCCTTCCTTTTCAGTCATCGAGTCGTGTATCTCTTTTTCCATTTCAATTAATGCATACCGACTTATGGCTATCGCCTGTTCCTAGTGTTACTGGATTTAAATTCTATATGCTTTTACTAGATGATTTCTCGCATTATTTATGGATTTTTCCCCTACGTCACAAATCTGATGCTTACTCCCATCTTTTAAAATTCCATGCAATGGTCAAAAATCAATTTCAAACTAGTATCAAAGCTGTACAATGCGACAATGGAACAGAATATAGAAATAATCAACTAGCCTCTTTCTTTGAGTCCTTGGGTATTCTCTTCCGATTTTCTTGCCCATATACTAGCCAGCAAAATGGGTGCGCAGAACGCACCATCCGCACTTTAAATAACCAGTCCGCACCCTACTTTTTCAAGCCAATCTACCCCCTCAATTTTGGGTTGAAGCCCTTCATATGGCCACTCATCTTTTTAATTTACTACCCACCACCACCCTTCACCAACGTACACCACATGAAGCTTTATATCACACCCCCCATCCTATAAACACCTCCGTGTCTTTGGTTGTCTTTGCTACCCAAATCTCTCCGCCACAGCACCCCACAAACTAGCCCCACGTTCTGCGCGCTGCATTTTTCTAGGCTACCCCGAGTCTCAACGTGGCTATCGGTGTTTGGACCTCTCCACTCAGAAAATTATTGTCTCCCGACATGTAACCTTTGATGATTCCACTTTCCCATATGCACCCCCACAATCCCCCTATTCTTACGACTTCCTCGACGCCATGGAGGACTGCATTGCCCCACACTTCCACCACCTCCAAAGCCACACACCCCTTTCGGCCTACCCCACCTCACCTCCCCTCTCGGCCCACACCACCCTGCTCCCACCTTCGGCCCAAACCACCCCCACCATCCCCATCCAC